CCAGCAGCTGGCAAGGAGCGAGCACCGTCCGACTCGCCGTATGTCTCCCGTGACTGGCTGGAGTGGCTAAACACGCTCTCTGTTGCCGAGCTCAAAGTGGCCCTCTCACACGAAGCTGAGAGTGAGTTGGCGCATGAGGCAGGGGAGATAGATGCCTCTCGACTTCTTGCGTGCCCAGAGTTTGGACAAGGACGCAACGGTCGGAAGGGGTTGGAGAACCACAGGTTTGCTGTTCACTCGATCATTGTCAACCATGTGAATATCCCCTCCGGGGACCTCAGTGCCCGCAGGTGCCCATGTTGCTCCCAAGTGTTTACTCGCAAGGACACTCTGATCAGGCATATCCAGCTGAAACGATGCCCACATCTTTCCGATCCGCAGCTTGGTCGGGCCCAGACGCCGCCATCGCTACCAATTTCAGGTCGACCGTCATCGACAGCGGCAGAGACTAACACAGTGAGAAGCGACGTTCACTCCCGCGGCCGAACTGCCCAAGAAGCGAGATGCGGGCGTGGCAGGAGTCGAAGCCGAAGTCGAGGGCATCAACCAGAACGCCAAGGGCACCGAGGTAGAGGGCATCTCGAAGAAAGACCAACAGATGACCAAACTCCTGCTGCTGCACGAAGACAACTTTCGGGGAGAGGCGCGAGACCAGAACGTGGTCGTCCAGCTCCGAGTCTTCCCCCAGTTGCAGGTGGCGCTGGAGTCGAGCACGGCCTACTACCAGAGAGTCGGGAAAGAGGCCAAGGGCAAGGTCGCGGCAGCCGACCTGATCGGCCAGAAGCTCGACGACTACCTCTGCATGCTGTTGTTCAGATTGAGCGAGGCCGTGGTGACCGCGCCCGAGGAGGTGGCGGTGGTGGTGGTGGCCGAGGCTGCCCAGGGCACCAACCCTCAGGAATCGGCTTCGGCGCTGATGATGCTGGTGGAGTTCGTGAAGAGCCCCAAGGATCCCGAGGCGAGGATCAAAGCGACGAGGTGCTTCGACGCGAAGGCCTCAACGACGATCGACGGAGAGGAGGGAGAGGAAGCCAATTGGATATTCGCCAATATGTCGCACCCCACGGTGAGGGCAGCGCTGTACGTTCTCAAAGACAACGGGGTGCGGAAGTATGCGAGTTTGATTTCGGAGGACGACGAAGCTCCACGGTCCAAGAAGGCCAAAGAGCTCGAGAAGTCTATATTCAAGGGAGGCGTGGACGGGTTCAACGGATTGTTCCACGGATTGCTGAAACGCCCGAAGAAGAAATGAGACCCCGTGCAGGCCCCAGCTGATCCCAGTCTTCTACAGTAGACCTGCGAAACTACTTCAAAGTTCGTGGGCCAGGCCCCGAGGGAGGCTAGCTCAGTTGTTTTCTTTGATGAGGGCCCGCCTATGCACTAGAGGGTGTTCAGGCGGCCGCTCTCGTTGTGCCATCCCCTCAGAAGAGGGGGTGCTCGAGCGCGGGGCTATTGGTCCCGCGTGCGTGCTCGCTCCTCTGGCCCTCTGCCTCGTCGCTCCGCGTTTTCTCGAGGTTGCGCCGTGTTTACGGTTGGTTTTCGGACGGGCCCGACGCTAGACAGCCGATTGATTGTTCCAGGGTGTTGCGATGGTAAGGAAGTAAAACGAGGCGGCCTTTTCCGGTGGAAGTTGGCGGAAGGCTGGCGGAAGCCGGCAGAGGTAAATGATGCGTCCCCAAGAGATGACAACGTTTTTGGGTTCAGGTTTCCAGAATCCGCCAAACGGAGATCTCTTGTCCGCCCCTGGCGGCCTTCGAAACCCACAGACGCCCTGGGGCATCGCAGGAAGATCCACGAGCGACGACGCATCTGCCCTGTGGTTTCTCACTGAAAGATCTCTGGTCGTAGATACCTACTGCATGAGTGCTTGAAGCCAGCAGCTTTTCGTCGATTTCGCCTTGCGGAGCCCGTCTTCGAGCCCGGGGGCCGTCGAGCGTGGATCCGTGGCGACAATTCGGCCGTGGGGGAGGGATCGGGACCTCGGAGGTCGCGCAGTGAAGTCATCGTACCGCCGGAGATCTGGCGAGGAGGACCGAACAGCGAAGAGCGGCGATCGATGTTGGGCCTTTCCGGGCCCCCTGGGGCCTGCGGAGGCCTCGCGACAAGGTCGGCGTCGACGTCGGTCGTCGATCTTCGGTGGTCATCGTCGTCGGTCGATCGTCGGTCGTTTACGTCTTCGTCGACGTCGTCTTCTTCCTGGTTGCCGAGATGCAGGTTTGAGTTTCCTTACACCAGCCTCAGGTTTCGCCACTGACAATCGGTGCCAACCACTTCACGGACCTACGGACCTCAGAGCAAGGAGGAAGAGCGCAGATGGGCTTCAGTAAAGGAGGTCCGACAGGGAGGTAATTTGGTGCATTTGAAACATGAACCGTGCAACAGTCGTGTACTTGGTGAAGCTTGCGGTTGCAAGGCAACGTCTTGCAAATCGGAACCGAACCGCAAACGATTGCAATGCTATGGTTTGGCCAAGCCACCAGTCAAATCATTGCATTGCAATCGTTTGCGCCGTTTGTCGAACGGTTCGAAAAATGGCCACCCCACAAAGACCACAATCGGTTGCGATATGGTGACTACGTGCCAAAGCTCACCGCGCATACGCATTGCACAAACCAGTGCACTGCACCCGTTTAAGCAACAAACAAACACATTGCAACCGTTTAAGTGGCAAGCGTTTGCACTTCAACCAGTTAAGCGACAGTCGATTGCATTGCAACCATATAAGGCACAAGCGATTGCATTGTGTCTGATCAGCAGGACCTCTTTGTTATGGACCCCTCCGCGCGCTTTTGGGGATAGGAGGAGGACGAAGCGCATTAACGACGTATTGCTGAACGTGCATGCCCTGGGATCGAGAGGCGAGCAGCCGCCGTTACGACAGAACGGCTGGATGTTCTAGGCTGGGGCAGCCACAGCAAGAATATTTGGAGATTGTCTGCGGTGACGTGCACCGGAATTGCCCTCCACCGATCTGCGCCCCGAAGAACCGCCCACCCCTGCGTTGCCACGCTCTTGCTCGTGGCTCGTGCTGGCCGTGGCGCAGTTCGGGGAGGGACGGAGACTGAAGCAAAGAGAGCAGAATGGGGGGTGGGAGGAGGAGGAGGAGGAGGAGGAGGAGGAGGAGGAGGAGCAACAGCAGCAGCAGGAGGAGGAGGAGGGCGAAGGCTAGGGCGAGGAGGAGGAGGAGGACGGCCAAAGAAAGCAAAGGGTGCATCAAGAATGGATCAGGGAGGGGGGGAGGGGAAGGAGGAGGAAGGGGAGGACCAGAGCAAAAGCTGGAACCGCGCGGGGGGGGACGGGGGGAGCAGGAGGGGAGGCCCTGACCTGCAGCTCGGAACGAAAGCGGGGACGTGCCCCCTCCATCCAAGACTCAGGAGGGGAAAAACACACACACACACAGACACAATGAATCGTCGATTCCCGGGAAAATATGGGAAAATATGGGAAGTGTGGGGGAAGACGAAAACCTAGAAAATATGGAAAAATATGGGGAATCGTTGTATTTGTGTGTGTATTTATTTGTGTGTCCTGGGGCCCCTTTAAAGACGTCTGTCAAGACCATTCGGCGAGTCGGCTTGGGACGCCACTCCGCTGGAATTCCCACGGGCTGGCGAAAGCGGCGGCAGTGGCGCTGCTGGCAGCATTCGTGGAGGGCGAGGCCTGACCTGAATCGGCGTGTGTTATCACTCCGCTGGACCCCCGAGCAGTGGCTCTCGAAAGCAGGCGCAGTTGCGCAGTTGGCAGCGCCAAGGGCAGGCGAGGTTCTGTTTGGGCCCCGCGCGGGGCTGCACTCCGCTGGACCCCTCGGAGGCGCAGACAGCTGAGCGCCTGGCAGCGCCTGGAGAGGACGAGGTCTTGCTTGGTCCTCCTGGGACCATGTAATTTGTTGTTCAGCGCGCGCCCCCCTGGAGATCCCGACCCCTTCCCCAGGACCAGTTTGTTTGACCCATGTTAGATGGCCCCGGGGACCGAGAACGCCCGAAAACGGGCCCCGTAGGGCGAAATCGAAGAAGAATTGCCAGCCTGAAGATCTCATGCAGAAGGATGAGATCTTCCTATGAGAAATTCAGGGGCGCATGTGTCGCCGATCGTCGATCTTCCTGCGGCGCCCCAGGGCGCCTGCGGGTTCCCAGGTTTTTTTCGCCCTGGCCGCATTGTTGCTGGTCCCAGGGCCCGATAACGAGCCCCAGAGGCCGAAATCCAGGATCGACCACAAAAGACACCCGCGGCAGCGCGGCGCCGGCCGCGCGCCCGGCGGCTCATGCCTTCTGTGCCGCGCCTTTCCCACTTTGTGCGCCGGCACCCGCTCTCCTCCCGCCTCGTCCTCCGCCTCCACTCCTCCCTCGTCCCTCCCCCCTGCCTCCCTGCCTCCCTGCTCGTCCTCCGCTTCCCTCGTCCTGCTCCCTCCTTCCTCCTCCCTCATACTCCCTCCTCCTCGTCGTCACCCATCTTGTTCGTCATCCTCCATCTCCGCCCTCGTCCTCCTCCTCCTCCTCCTCCTCCTCCTCCTCCTCCTCCTCCTCCTCCTCCTCCTCCTTCTCCTCCTCCTGCTCCTCCTCCTCCTGCTCCTCCTCATCCTCCTCCTCCTCACTCCTGGTCACGCTTGTCCTCATTATTCTCCTCGTCCTCATTCTCCTCCTCGTCCTCTTCCTCCTCCTCCTCCTCCTCCTCCTCCTCCTCCTCCTCCTCCTCCTCCTCCTCCTCCTCCTCCTCCTCCTCCTCCTCCTCCTCCCCACTCCTGGTCCTCCTCGTCCTCATTCTCCTCCTCGTCCTCCTCCATCTCCCCCCCCTCATCATCCTTCCCCTCTCCCCATCCTTCCTTGCATCCTCTCCCTCCCCTCCTTCCCTCCTCCTCCCTCTTCTCTTCTTCCCCCTGCCATTTTTCTGGGTCGGAGGCCCCCTCTGGCAGGCAGACCACCTCTTCCGCGTGGCGTGGGATTCGCCTTGCTGTATGTGAAGAGGCCGCCCTCGGGGCGTCGCTGAAGGTGAACGGAGCCGAGATGAAGTGCCCGGGGGAGTCGGCGGTGGGGGAAAGGGGCAAGGGCAACTATGAGGAGGAGGAAGAGGAGGAGGAGGAGGAGGAGGAGGGGGAGGAGCTCAAGGGGAGGAGTCAAGGTGTCCCCTGGCCAAGAAACGCGCGCGGCCTCCTCGCCTCCCCTCATCCCTTCGCGGCGGACCTTCTTCCCTCCGCCCCCCCCCCCCCACGCGATGGCAGCCCGGCGGGACGCCGCCGCCACCCGGGCGAGTTGCGTCTGAGATGGCCCGCACAGGGGCTGCAGCAAAGCCCGGAACGCGGGACGGGCCGGAGCGCGGGGCGAACTTTATGGCTTCCGCCGCCGGGAGGACTCATTCCAACACGGGCCCGCTGTCGGAGCCGTCGGCGGATGCCCTGCGCAGGTGCAGAGACGAGAACAGGCGTGCGACGCCCTACGGCAGCCTGAGCGACGCCCACGGCTCCCTGTCCTCCCCACGCGCACGGGGTGCTCACGCTGGGGGCTGTCCCCGGGGCCGCCGCTCCCTGGCGGGGATTGTATCCTCCTCCTCCTCCTCCTCCTCCTCCTCCTCCTCCTCCTCCTCCTCCTCCTCCTCCTCCTCCTCCTCCTCCTCCTCCTCCTCAAGCTCTGAGCGTCAGATTGCTGTGGAGGAACTGGGTCGCAGAGCACTGGTGCCAGGCCGCGCCCCTCACCCCTCCAAACGGACCCCCTGCCCCCTATCGACGTCCCCGCCTGCGTTTTCGGCCAGCTCGTCGATTCCATCGGCCTGCCCTCACCAATGCGCTCCAGGGAGCGGTCCCCGAACCCCTGCGTGGAGGCCGACTCCTCTTCTTCACCTCTGCCGCCGCCTCAACCTCTTCACGTTGGCCCTGGGAGCGGCACCACCGTCGCTGGCCTTGCTGGGGCTGACCGTGCTCACCGTGCTTTAGCTGGTAGGGTCTCGGCGCATCCCAACGGTGAATCCAGCATCACCCTGTCAGTGTGGAGTGGTGGGTGTGGGCCTCTGTGCGCCCCCGAGCCCCCAGTGAACTCCTCCCGCTGCCCATGAATTTCTTCGCCCCCGAGCTTCGGCTGTTCCTCGACACCACAAATTTCTAACACCTGCATGCCGACTTCCTGCCCGTGCCTCCTGAGGGCTGGTCCCCGGACCTCACTGGCGAAGCGCGGGCCTGGCGGCGGTGCCTTTGGGCGCCTTCTGCGAGCCCTTCGGCCGCTCGCGCGGAGCCGCCGGCACCGCCCTGGAGAGCGTTGACTTCAACCAGAGTGTAATAAGACAGCGGGCGTGGTGGGACCGCGGTGTTTATTAAGTTCTGGTTGGATATTTTGCCCTCCTGGAGTCCTCTTGGACCCCTCCAGGAGCTAACTCCGTGCCTCCTCGGCGCCCCCGGGCGCTGTCTGCGAGCCCATCGACCGCTCCATTTCGGCCCCGGGGGCGCCCCAGGTTGTTCGAAATTTAGGAGGTTTTAACAAGACTGCGTGCGTGGCGCCTCCGCGGTTCTCGTTCAATTCTGGTTGACTTCCTGGGCTTCCTGGAGCCCCCCCTGGGAGCTCTTGGCGAGCCCCCCTTGGCGCTCCGGAGCCATCTGGGACTCCAGCCGTAGCGCCCCTTCAACCCAGGACGCTTGTCGGAGTGCCCGCGGCGCTCTCCACCCCTCGGCGCCTTCGCAAACCGCAGATTATTTACCAGCACTCGCGAGCGTCCCAGCGCAGGCTGCCTCCACGCTGGGTGCCCCGGCACCACCTGCAACGGAGGGCCAAGGCAAGGCTGCCTCGGCGCCAGAGCAGGCTGTCCCAGCACCGGCTGCCCGCGCTCCCCCGCGTTTGGGTTCACGGTTAAGTCGGGCCTGTCCCTCTAAAGGGGGTATATTCAGAAATAGTCAAAAAATAGTCAGGGGACGATTTTTGTACCATTTTGTAGTATTTTAGAATATGTTCTGACCATTTTCTATTTTTCGTCCGAAATCCCCTTGTAGGGGGACACGCCCGACTTAGTTCGGGGGCCCGGGGCAAACCGAGGCGTTTCCGGTTCCTGCCCTCGCGTGACCGCCGCGACGGGGACCAGCGCCACGTTGGGGGCGCTCCTGCTCGGCCCCTCGCCTTGGCATCGCTCGGAAGTGTGCATTTTTCCTTCGGCGAGGACCATCGAGGAGCATCCTTAATCATTTCGCGAAAAAACCACACACACACACACACACACACACACACGAAACCAAAAAAACAGGAAATGGACGTCCGAGCGATGACCCCTCGCTCCCCGACCACTGTGGACACCCCAGGCGCCCGGGGCGCGGCCCCTGGTGGTGCTGCACTTTTTTTTACCTGCGGCAAGGAGCCCTGTGGCACGAGTGCCTCCTTCTCCTCCTCCTCCTCCTCCTCCTCCTCCTCCTCCTCCTCCTCCTCCTCCTCCTCCTCCTCCTCCTCCTCCTCCTCCTCCTCCTCCTCTTCATCCTCCTCAAGTGCGGAGCGACGGACTTTACGACGACGAGGAACGACAGACGACAGAGGAACGACAGGAGCGCGGGGAGGGGAGGGGGGAGGGAGGGGCAAAGGGGGGGGAGGGCGCGCGCCACGCGCCCAGGCCCTCAGGGGGCCGTGCCGGCCTGTGGGGCCCTCTGCACACCAATCGCCTGCCCCCTCGGCCCCCCCCCACCGGCTTGCCAGTCGCCCACCTTGCTGGCACCTCCATCACCGAGCTCTCCCAGGATGAGCTGGCCCTCGTGGCAGCCGGCGTGTGCTGCAATGTACGTTCGAGAGCCCAGGATCTGCCTCCCTGTTGCACCTGGTGCCCTTGCGTCCATGCCTCTACGTCGGGGTCGCCAGATCGGCCCAGCAGGAGGCGCATTTTGGGGCGGGGCACTCCTGGCGCAGAGGACCGACGCGTCACTTGGCGGGGGGATCTGGCGCAGGGGAGGGGAAGGGAGCGAGGCCTGGCAGCGCGAATACCAGATTGACCCTGTCCCGCTGAGACGTGACGGCATTGGGAGCAAAGGAATCTTGCATCCTACATCGGGCTTGGCTGTGCGGCTACTCTGTCACGTTCGGAATGTCTCGTCACCTCGCCCCTGGACATGGTGACGTCACCCGGTCGGGAGGTCCCCGCGGCCTGCACGGGCATAGGCGTCCAACAGTGGTCATTCTCTCCTGCCGCGGGGCCGTCACGCGCAGGGGAAATCCATCCATCTGCGGCCTTCTTCCGCGGCCGCATCTCAATGGCCGTAGCGACGGCCGCTGCACACGGCCTCCGTGGGAGCACCAGGGGGGGGGGGCGCAGCGGCTCGATCGCTACTGCTTGCCACGAGGCTGCCCTGCGCAGGGGGCGACGTGCCGCCTGCCCCCCCTGTCTGCGAGGTTCGCCCCCGCCGTCCAGATCTACCGCGCGGAGGGCCGCCCGCCCGCGATAGCGACGTTCAGCGCGCCTCTTGCTCCTGCTGCCCTCCGCACTCCACCTGCCACCCCTCCGCCCTGCAGGCGCGGCCTGCAGGCGCGGCCGCCTCGACGCTCTCCACCTCTGGGTCGCCCCCGCGCCCACCTTTCCGCTCACTGCCGTGCCCCCCCCCCGCCCCCCTCTTGGGGGGCTGGCCCCTCGCCGCTCTCCACCTCTGGGTCGCCTCCGCGCCCACCTTTCCGCTCACTGGCGTGCCCCCCCCCGCCCCCCTCTTGGGGGGCTGGCCCCTCGCCGCTCTCCACCTTTGGGTCGCCTCCGCGCCCACCTTTCCGCTCACTGGCGTGCCCCCCGCCCGCCCCCCTCTTGGGGGGCTGGCCGCCTCGCCGCTCTCCACCTCTGGGTCGCCTCCGCGCCCACCTCTCCGCTCACTGCCGTGCCCCCCCCCCCGCCACCTTCTCTGGCCGCCTCGCCGCTCTCCCCTCTTGGGTCGGCGCCCACCTTTCTGCTCACTGGCGTGCCCCCCCCCTCCCGCCCCGCCCGCGCCTCGCCGCTCTCCACCTCTGTCGCCTCCGCGCCCACCTTTCTCACTGGTGCTGGCCCCCCTCTTGGGGGGCCCGCCTCGCCGCTCTCCACCTCTGGGTCGCCTCCGCGCCCACCTCTCCGCTCACTGCCGTGCCCCCCCCCCCGCCACCTTCTTGGGGGGCTGGCCGCCTCGCCGCTCTCCACCTCTTGGGGCGCCTCCCGCCCCACCTTCCGCTCGACGTGCCGCGCCCCTTCCCCCCCGCCCCCGCTCTTCGGTGGGCTGGCCCGCCTCGCCGCTCTCCCACCTCTGCGTCGACTCCGCGCCCACCTTTCCGCTCACTGGCGTGCCCCCCGCCCGCCCCCCTCTTGGGGGGCTGGCCGCCTCGCCGCTCTCCACCTCTGGGTCGCCTCCGCGCCCACCTCTCCGCTCACTGCCGTGCCCCCCCCCCCGCCACCTTCTTGGGGGGCTGGCCGCCTCGCCGCTCTCCACCTCTGGGTCGCCTCCGCGCCCACCTCTCGCTCATGCCGTGCCCCCCCCCCCCCCCTCTTGGGGGCTGGCCCCTCGCCGCTCTCCACCTCTGGGTCGCCTCGCGGCCACCTCTCCGCTCACATGCCGTGCACCGCCGCCCGCCCTCCTCTTGTGAGGCTGGTCGCCCTCGCCGCTCTCCACCTCTGGGTCGCCTCCCGCCCAACTTTCCGCTCACTGCGGTGCCCCCCCCTCCGCCCCCCTCTTGGGGGCTGGCCGCCTGGGCCGCTCTCCAACCTCTGGGTCCCTTTCGCGCCCACCTCTCCGCTCACTTCCGTGCCCCCCCCCGCCCCTCTCGGGGGCTGGCCAGCCTTCGCCGCTTCCACCTCTGGGTCGCCTCCGCGCCCCACCTCTCCGCTCACTGCGTGCCCCCCCCCCCCCCCCTCCCCCCTCTTGGTGATTGGCCGCCTCGCCGCTCTCCACCTCTCGGTCGCCGCCGCGCCCACCTTTCCGCTCCTCTCACTGCCCGTGCCCCCCCCCCCCCCCCCCCTCCTCTTGGGGGGCTGGCCCCTCGCCGCTCTCCACCTTTGGGTCGCCTCCGCGCCCACCTCTCCGCTCACTGCCGTGCCCCCCCCCCT